TGAAGTAGAGGTGTGTGTTTGAGGCGCGGGACGATGCGCGCGCAGCGTGCGTGTGTGTGTTGTGTGTGTGTGTGTGTGTGTGTGTGTGTGTGTGTGTGTGTGCGTGCGTGCGTACGATGGCGGAGGTGCGCGCGTTTACTGGGAAGAAGGTGAACGAAGCACGTATATAATGAGAAGCGAATTAACAACTCCATAAATGAATATAACGTTTGTTGTTTGTGTGCTATCAAAAAAATTGCTGTTTAATTATATAGGCGCCTGAGTCAAAGCCAATACAGTTTTTACCTAGAGTAAGCTATAATATAAAGTCTTCACTATACTTAGTATAAGCTGTTTTAAAGTTTTCGCATGGCTTTTGTATATTTTAAATTCTTTAGTACATTATAGCATTTAGCTTAGTCAAAGAATTACATGTTGAATTAACATGTATCATACTAGCGTATAACTAACTATCTGTCTACATCTAAGCTATCTATTAATGTATATGTGTGCTATCTATATTCTACATATATAAAGCAGTTAGTGCGTTTTTATAACTTGTAGATGGATTTTGCTAATTCTATTGTTGTAAGTGTGTAAGCACGAAAGTCTTTCTTGTCGGCGAATTTAATTTATTTAGATAATTTCGTTTTGTTATGTGATACTTAGCAGGAGTTTACAGGCTCACTATTTTGATCCCCAATTTGGTTAGTAATATGTGATCATATGGATAAGCGAGTCGCAATTAACGATGTTTAAGTATTGTTGAGTAATCAAAATAGTGTCTTGATTTTATTATACATACCTGCAGTTTTGCTGATGTCATTTTGCTTATGTGCGAATATAGTGATAGCTCTATTTTAGTTTTCCCAATGCATGGGTATTTTATGGTAGGTAAATTGTTTCAGGGCAGGGTGTTTCCTCATTTAAAATTTGGAAAGTTCAGACTTGTTGGCATTTATTATAAATAGTTGTGTGAAACAAAAAATGTTTGTTTGTGTAATTAATTGATAGTTTGTTCGCTGCCATCCGTTAATCAATGTGTGCACTGTTCTCACATTTACAATCGTTGCTAAAAATTTGATATTGTAATTAATGTATTGAAAACATAAATACGATTATTTATAACCAGTAAGTACTACGTATAATCTCTAAAACATTAAGAGAGATCACACACCACACACACACACACACACAACAACAACACACACAAACACACACACACACAGCACACACACACGACACACCACAACAACACACGACACACACACACACACACCACATGACACACCACAAGCGGCGCGGCGCGCGACACGCACGCACGCATATATATATATATATATATATATATATATAATATATATATACACATCACACACGCAGCACACACACCACACACACACACACACAACCATCACACACACACACACACACACACACACACACACACACACACACAGCACACAACAGCTGGCGCGCCACACACACACATACACATATAGCATATATAATATATATAATATATATATATATATATATATATATATATATATATTATATATATTTATTTATTTATTTATACGCGTGCACAAACATGCGCGCTCACACACATAACTTGTAAGTAGCCAGACGACCGAGAGTAAACATTTTAATTTAAATCTGTAGAACAAATAACTTTTAGAAATCCTCCAAAAAATTATAGGATCTAGCTGATTATTACGGGTCAGTAATTCACTTCGTGCGTACGCAACAAGCAAACACGTACAACACGCACATATGTATATGCAACATGTTCTGCTTGCATCTATGACAAATACGACATACGCATATACGCTCTCCTGTGACACTATTTGTCCCAGGAAGATTCTTCCTATGACAAATATTGACAAGTCAACTTCGTTCCGCTTTACAGCTGAAATTCACTGCTTCATAATAGCGCTCATAAACTCCTATGATGCGCACAACACATACAGCAATATTTGTTATAGGAAGGATCTTCCTATGACAAACAGTGTCATAGGAGAGCGTATATGCGTATGTCGTATTTGTCATAGATGCTAGCAGAACAGGCTGGTATATATGATGTTTATGTACTGATGTTTGTTTGTCTGCTTTGTCCGTTCGCCAGCAGAACCGCACACCTCCATCGTTGACTTATTGTTTACGCTATGTAAACAGTACCGGCTCAACCAGCAATCATTCAAGCGCGATATCAATCAACAACACAGCGCACGCGACGCCGTCCACTCACGAGTCGACGCACCCCACTCAATATGTAGCCAGCAGGAGATACCGCGTGTGCCTCACCCACTCAATAGCGCTTGTTTTACAATTCCTCGTAGCTTGTTTGTTGACCCTATTGTAGCCTATCGTGCGTTTAGTTGAGTACGAGCGATGGGAAGTCTCTCTCATCCGCTTCTCTATACACCCACGCGCGCACACACACACACACACACCCTCTCTCTCCCTCCCTCTCTCTCTCCCTCACACACACACACACACACACACACACACACACACACACACACACACACACACACACACACACACA